TTCCTATTCCCTATGTGATAAAGAACGAGCTTGATTGAGTTCACTGCCACTAGGTGTTCTAGCATCCTACAATGAGTTAGCACATAATTGTTTTTACAATTCAACCCACCAAACATGAATGCAAAACTTTGAAATGGTTTAACTTCATTCAAGAAAATGGAGGATGAAAGCCTATAATAAGCATGGGAAAGATTCAAGGCTTTGTTGTGGAAATGTCCTATGCATAGGTTTCCACATTGGACCCAAATGGAAATGTTTTATAATGGGTTTAAACATACATATTCGTATAGTGGTCGATGTTTCAACTAATGAAGCTTTGTTAGATAAGACATAAAAAGAGGCTTACGATATTCTTCAGAGGATCTCAACTAATGATTGTCAATATCCCAATATGAGAAATATGTTTGGCGGGCACAATGTTGCAGGTTTAGATTCTGAAGCTTTTAACACTATGACATATTAGATTTCAATATTGAAAGATATGGTAAAGAAATTGCAAAAACCAGGAAAAATGTACGAAGTCAAAGATGCATCTCTCATCACATGTGTTTATTATGGTGATAACCACTGTAACACCCCCAAAGTCCAGGTTAGTAGTTTTGGGTTTACCTGAGATGTAACTAGACCCTTGTATATTTAGTAATTTAAGTCGTTGGGTTTAATTGGGTCGGGATTAAGCTAAATTAGTCGTTAAAAAAGGAGATTTTAAAATTGTAGAAGGATGAGGAAAGACCAAAAGTGTTATTACCCCATTTTAAAAAGACAAAGGCTTTATATTTTTCATTAACTTCTTCTTTTATTCATTTATTCTATTCATTCTCATTTTCCTCTATTCTTCCTCTCCAAGTTCCATAAATCGAAGGTAAGTACTTTGAGTCATTTCCTACTTCTTTTAAGCTTCGATTTCATTATTAATCCCTTCAGCAACTTTATTTCAATGATTTAAAGCTTTGGGTTCTTTGGTTGTAAGAGATTTGGGGTTTTACATCCAAGACCTGGTAGAGGGTGTTTGATAGCTAAAAGAGCTTTATTTTGGGATTCTTTAACCAATCTAGTGTATTTCTAATTCTTTATGGTGTCATGATTTCCATAAATCATAATGTTTGTTAAAGCTTTGAGTTATTTGGTATATTAGAGTTTGTGTTTGACTCTTATCATGGATAATTTTTTTGTTAAAAAGTTAGTGTTTTTATAGTGTTAGACGACCCTAAATAACCTCCATAAGCTTTATTAAACTTTTAAAGACATTGGGAGAGTTTTTAGAGTGATTTGGAGAGCTTTCTCGTAAAAAATAGTGTAATTGGCTACAGTGGTTTCGAAAATCCCCAAGCTGGTTTAGAAACCCCTGTTTAGAATGCAAATTTGCACTATGATTTTGAAACCCCCTGAAAGTGGTTTCAAAACCCTACCCAAAATGTCTAAAATGTTACCCAGAAGGCCCTATACCCATGGTATAACCTTAAATGGGAATGAATATATGTAAAACACTAGAAAAAGTTTTAAGAAAGGTGTTTAAAGGTGGGTTACAATAAATGTAACCATACTAATTTAAATATCTTCAGTCGAGCAAGTATACGAATAGTAGAGAATGAGGATCATTGAAATGGAATTTTTTGAAACATGCGAGTATCTTATTATAGGATGGAAATCTCGTCATAGTTGTAAATAGGCGTACTTGCAAGCTTGAAAAATATGAAGATCGAAAGCCATTACAAGGTATCCATTTCTCATGTTTATCCTTCGTATACCATGGAAGCTTAAGCCCCTACCAGAGATTGTTGCAGCATAATGAGAGCTTGTTGAGTAGCATCGACAGTCAACATATCACCTTTCAAATCCATCTATTGAGAGAGCAAGTGATTTGGATGCTTTATAAACTTTGTGGACAATATTATGCATTTGTTATTTTATGTTTATTTTACTACTTCTTTTATGTGCTTGAATCTTAATGATTATGAGTAGAAATACTTATGATTAAATGTATGGTAATTTCTATTATTTCTAGAAATAGATTTGGTTTATTTTCTATATAACTATGATAGCGTTAGTGTTGCTAAGTAGTAATGTGTGTGTTGAAAAGCATGTATCCAATAGATTAACTTTGTTAATATTTTGAACCTTTAATCAATGAAAGTAATTAGAGAGGTTTAAAAGGTCACAATCAATGTTAATCAAATAGATTTAGTATGCTTTGTTCACATAAGGTATGATGTTCACAATATTCTTCCCATCTATTTGATAATCTGACTTATTGGTCTTTGAACTGCTGTAGAAAGAACTGATGTTTCTTTTATTGATTTTCTTTACTTACCATCATTCTTTTATGCTTAAAAACTCTAATGAACACATATTTCTCCTTATGGGTTTGATAATCATAACATTAGTTTGCTACAACTTTATTACTTGTTTTACGATAGATGCACTTGCGTAATTGCTATAGCACAATCGTAGCATCAAGTTTTTGGCACTGTTACCAGGAGTAACAGTTTGATGAAGGTTTTTCTTTATTTTTCTTACTTTTTTATTTTCTTTAGTAGGTACTTTTAGTTTTCATTTCCAATAGTTTTTACCCTAAAGTGACGAAGAATTAAAGCCCTTTGATCTAGAGATTTAAAGGACTTTTAGAAGACGTCGCCGTTAAGATACAAAGAACAAAACAAATATGGTTGGATGAGGGATTGGTATTCTACCCCCGTTGTAGAAATGAGAGGATAATGCATTACCTAGTCGTGTTGGAGCAGGAAAACCATTTTAAAACATAGATGATTATGATCCCCCTATCCGTGAGCATGTAGTGTCGATGTTGGATGATCTGCATCTGGGCATAGTAAGGCCAACGATTAATTTTGCAAACTTTGAGTTAAAGTAGGTCATGCTCCAATTATTACAATTTTTGGGACATCATAAAGGGTCTATTGTTGAAGATCATATGGATCATTTGAAAGTGTTCATGGATGTTTGTTATTTCTTTATTCAGCAAGTTGTTCCGCATGAGCCACTAAAGCTGAAGCTTTTTTCTTATTCATCATGTGATAAAGAACGAGCTTGATTTAGTTCACTATCCCAAAGTGTTATAACATCCTGAAATGAGTTAGAGCATAAATTTTGTTATGATTCAACCATGCAAACATGAATGCAAACTTCGAAATGGTTTAACTTCATTCAAGCAAATGGTATATGAAAGCTTGTATAAAGCATGGGAAAGATTGAAGGTTTTGTTGCGGAAATGTCCTATTCATGGGTTTTCACATTGGATCCAAATGAAGATGTTTTATAATGGGTTAACTTCAACGAATAAAGCTTTGTTAGATAAGACATAAAAAGAGGCTTACAATATTTTTGAGATGGTCTCAACTAATGATTGCCAATAGCCCATTATGAGAAATATGTTTGGCCGACACAATGCTGCAACAGTAGATTATAAAGCTTTTAAAACTATGACATCTTAGATTTCAACATTGAAAGATATGGTAAAGAAATTGCATAAACCACATGTGTTTGTTATGGTGATAACCACTCTGATAGCCCAAACTCTGGGTTAGTAGATTTTGGTTTACCTGAAAAGTAAGTGGACCCCCATTGATTTCGTAATTTAAGTCGTTGGGTTTAATTGGGTCAGGATCAAGCCAAATTACTAGTAAAAAATGATATTTAGAATAGTAGAAGGATAAGAAGGGACCAAAAGTGTTATTACCCCATTTTAAAAAGATGAAGGCTTTATATTTCCCTTCATCTTCTTTTTTCTTCATTTCTTCTATTTCTTCTATTCCTTCTCATATTCCTCTCTTCTTCTCTCCAATTTCCATAAATCGAATGTAAGTCCTTTGAGTCATTTCCTGCTTCTTTTAAGCATTGATTTCATTATTAATCCCTTCAATAACATTATTTTAGTGATTTAAAGATTTGGGTTCTTTGGCTGTAAGAGATTTAGGGGTTTACATCCAAGACTTGGTACAAGATGTTTACTAGCTAAAAGAGCCTCATTTTGGGATTCTTTAACCAAGGTAGTGTATTTCTAATTCTTTTTGGTGTCATGATTTCATAAATCATAATGCTTGTTAAAGATTTGAGTAATTTGGTATATTAGGGTTTATGTTTGATTCTTGCCATGGATGATGTTTTTGTTAAAAAAAATTAGTGTTTTATTGCACTAGATGGCCCTAAATAACCTCCTTAAGCTTTATTAACATTTACAGAAGTTGGGAGAGTTTTTAGAGTGATTTAGAGAGTTTTCTTGTAAGAAACTATGGAATATGCTACAGATGTTTCGGAACCCCAAGCTGGTTTCGAAACCCCTTGTTTAGAAATAAAATTTGCACTGTGATTTTGAAACCCCTAAGGTGGTTTTAAAATCCCTACCCAAAATGTCCACAATTTCCTAAAATGTAGACCAAGAGGCCCTAGACCCAAGGTATGACCTTAAATGGGATTGAATATGTGTAAAACACTAGACAAAAGTGTTAAGAAATGTGTTTAAAGGTGTGTTACAATGGATGCAACCATACTAAGTGAAATATCTTTAGTCGAGTACGTATACGGATGGTAGAGAATGAGGATCATTGCAAGGGATTTTTTTTAAACGTGTGAGCATGTTATTAGAGAATGGAAATCTCATCAAAGCTATAAATAGGTGTACTTGAAAGCTTGAAAAATATGAAGATCGGAAGCCATTTCAAGGTCCCCATTTTCATATTTATCCTTCGTATGCCATTGAAGCTTAATCCCCTGCCATGGATTGTTGCAGCACAAGGAGAGCTCGCTGAGTAGCATCGGCAGTAAACAGATTACCTTTCGAATCTATCTATTAAGAGAGATAGTGATTTGGATGCTTTATAAACTTTATGGATGATATTGTGCATTTATTATTTTATGTTTATTTTTCCACTTCTTTTATGTGCTTGAAGCTTTATGATTATGAGTAGAAGTATTTATGATTAAATGTATGGTAATTTTAATTATTCCCAGAAATAGATTTGGTTAATTTTCTATATACATTTGATAGCGTTGGTGTTGTTGAGTAGCAATGTGTGTGTTGAAAAGCATGCATCCAATCAATTAACTTTGTTAATATTTGAACCTTTAATCAATGAAAGTAATTATAGAAGTTCAAAAGGTCAGAATCAATGTTAATCACATAGATTTAGTATGCTCTATTCACATAAGGTATGATATTCACAATATTATTTCCATCTATTTGATAGCTAACTTAATGCTCTTTAAACTGTTGCAGCAAAAACTGGTGTTTCTTTTATTGATTTTATTTACTTAGCATTTATTCCATACCATCATTCTTTTATGCTTAAATGTTCTAATGAAAACATATTGTTCCCTATAGGTTCGATAATCATATCAATAGTTTGCTACTACTTTATTACTTATTTAACGATATATGCACTTACGTAATTGCTATAGCATATTCGTATCATCAAGTTTTTGGTATCGTTGTCGGGGTGTAACGGTTTGATTATGGATTTTCTTTATTTTACTTACTTTGTTATTTTCTTTTATAGGTACTTTTAATTTTCATTACCAATAGTGTCTACCCTAAAGTGGAGAAGAATTAAAACCCTTTGATCTAGAGATTTAAAAGACTTTTAGGAGACGTCGCCGTGAAGCTGCAAAGAACATAACAAATATTGGATGAGGGATTGGTATTCTACCCCCATTGTAGAAAGGAGATTATAGTGCATTGCCTGCTCAATTGGAGCAGGAAAACCATTTCAAAACATAGATGATTGTGATTCCCATATCCAAGAGCATGTGGTACCGATGTTGGATGATTTTCATCTAGGCATAGTAAGGTCAGGGATTAATTTTGCAAACTTTAAGTTAAAGCAAGTCATGCTCCAAATGTTATAATTTTGGGACTGTATAATGGGTTTGTTGTTGAAGATCATAGGGCTCCTTTGAGAAAGTTCATGGAGGTTTGTGATTTCTTTACTCATATTCCTTTACGCATCAAGGTGTTCCATATACGGAACTAAAGGTAAAACAATTTCCTTATTCGTCGTGTGATAAAGAACGAGCTTGATTTAGTTCACTGGCACTAGGTGTTATAACATCCTGAAATGAGTTAGAGCATAAATTTTTGTTATGATTCTACTCGCCAAACATGAATGAAAAACTTCAAAATGGTTTAACATCATTCAAGCAAATGGTATATGAAAGCTTGTATAAAGCATGCGAAAGATTCAAGGATTTGCTGCGGAAATGTCCTATGCATGGGTTTCCACATTGGACCTAAATGAAGATGTTTTATAATGGGTTAAACATACATATTCGTATAGTGGTCGATGCCTCAACGAATGAAGCTTTGTTAGATAAGACATAAAAAGTGGCTTACGATATGTTGAAGAGGATGTCAACTAATAATTGCCAATATCCCAATATGAGAAATATGTTTAGCCGACACAATGCTGCAATAATAGATTCTAAAGCTTTTAACAGTGTTACATCTTAGATTTCAACATTGAAAGATATTGTAAGGAAATTGCAAAAACCAGGAGGAATGTACGAAGTCAAAGCTGCATATCTCATCACATGTGTTTATTATGGTGATAACCACAGTAACACCTAAAACTCCGGGTTAGTAGTTTTGGGTTTACCTGTGAGGTAAATGAACCCCCGTAGATTTCATAATTTAAGTCGTTGGTTTAATTGGGTCGGGATCAAGCCAAATTAGTAGTAGAAAATGAGATTTTAAAATAGTAAAAGGATAAGGAAGGACCAAAAGTGTTGTTACCCCATTTTAAAAAGATGAAGGCTTTATATTTCTTTTCTTTATCTATTCAATTCCTTGTAATTTTCCTCTCTTCTTCCTCTCCAAGTTCCATAAATCGAAGGTAAGTCCTTTGAGTCATTTCATACTTCTTTTAAGCTTTGATTTTATTATTAATCCCTTCGCAACATTATTTTAGTGAATTAAAGCTTTGGGTTCTTTGGATGCAAGAGATTTGGGGGTTTTACATCCAAGATTTGGTAGAGGGTGTTTGCTAGCTAAATGAAACTCATTTCGGGATTCTTTAACCAAGGTAGTGTATTTCTAGTTCTTTGTGGTGTTATGATTTCCATAAATCATAATGCTTGTTAAAGATTTGAGTAATTTGGTATATTAGGGTTTGTGTTTGATTCTTTCCATAGATGATGTTTTTGTTAAAAACGTTAGTATTTTTATAGTGTTATATGACCCTAAATAACCTCCTTAAGCTTTATTAAACATTTAGAGATATTGGGAGAGTTTTTAGAGTGATTTGGAGAGCTTTATATAAGAAACTGTGCAATATGCTGCAGAGGTTTTGAAACCCCAAGCTAGTTTCGAAACCCCTTGTTTAGAATTCAAATTTGCATTGTGATTTCGAAATCCCCTAAGGTGGTTTCAAAATCCCTTCCCAAAATGTCTAAAATGGCCTAAAATGTTATCTAGGAGGCCCTAGGCCTATACTATGACCGTAAATGGGATCGAATATGTGTAAAACACTAGAAAAAGCATTAAGGAAGGTTTTTAAAGGTGGTTTATAATGGATGCCACCATACTAAGTGAAATATCTTCAGTTGAGCACGTATACTAACAGTATAGAATGGGGATCATTGCAAGGGAATTTTTTTAAATGTGCTAGCATCTTATTAGAGGATGGAAATCTCGTCATAGTTATAAATGGGCGTACTTGCAAGCTTGAGAAATATGAAGATTGAAAGCCATTTCAAGGTACCAATTTCTCATGTTTATCCTTCGTATGCAATGTAAACTTAAGCCCCTACCAAGGATTGTTGTAGCATAAGGAGATCTCATTGAGTAGCTTCGGTAGTTAGTAAATCACCTTTCAAAACCATATATCGAGAGAGAGTGATTTGGATGCTTTATAAACTTTTGTGGATGATATTGTGCATTTATTATTTTATTTTATTTTTACTACATCTTTTATGATTATGAGTAGAAATACATATGATTAAATGTATGGTAATTTCAATTATTTCTTGAAATAAATTTGGTTGATTTTCTATATATCTTTGATAGCGTTGGTGTTGCTTAGTAGCAATGTTTGTGTTGAAAAGCATGCATCCAATCAATTAGCTTTGTTAATATTTTGAACCTTTAATCAATAAAAGTAATTAGAGAATATCTAAAGGTCTTAATCAATGTTAATCACATAGATTTAGTATGCTCTGTTCACATAAGGTATAATGTTCACAGTATCTTTTCCATCTATTTGATAGTTGACTTATTGATCTTTGAACTCCTATAAC